GGAGGGGGTGATTAGTAATATGTGCCTTTCACATGCTATCATCATACTTTTCTCCAAATGGACAGCGAGAGATTTCCTTAAATTAGCAAGTTTGGTTCTTGATATCTTCATTTTGAGCCAGAGAGTTAAATTAGTCTACTTCTCTTCATTTCTTCGATTATGAAATTAATTTATCAATCGGAATATTTTTTTTTTGTATTTTCAACAGAGTGGTAGTGGAAATGTGCTCTTGGATATGCGCCGACCATTGGATCTTAACAAACAGCACACCCACTCCCACCATCAACTTCAACAACAACCCATCTCCCATCAGTTCCCTCAATCCAACGCATCCAGTGGAGGCCAAGGTCAGGGTTATCCTCGTAACAACAACGGAACTCCCACTCGTCAGCCTGCAATTAGATCGCAACCGCAACTCTGTGAGCATTACCTTCTACTCTCTACTCTGATTTCTTTCATTTTGACATGAGTGTTTTACTGGCTCACTAATATGTCGATCTACTTAGATTAGAGTATAATCAGTAATTGGTTGTGATAGCTAATTAATTACTTACTTCCTTGTAGGCTTCTTAAATCGGAGAGTGAGTAGAATATCTTATCTTATATCAAATGGCAGGCGTTTTGATGGTTATCATTAGCCCTTTAGTTGACTTCAAGCTTCACAGATGGGAAGGAACATCAAAGTGAAAAAAAGTCGAGAGGGGGGGGGGCAGAAGAGTGTTTCAAAGATGTAAAAGAGACAGACACAAAGTTGGAAAAAAGGTAAAGTGAGTACTGTGAAGTGGTGGAATATGACATACAGTGGGGTGATGGTAGTTTGGAGTCTGAAGTCAACTGCCGATAAATAGACTTTTTTGCCGTATGAGTATACGTTGCCCAGGGTGCACCACGTGGAGGAAAGTCTATGGCACACCCCGTGAGTGGAATATTGAATACTTGGCCCTTTCATTTTAGCCGAGGAAACGCCCACTCCAAGCGCAACCCCCCGTGTGAGTCAGCACCAATTTGTGCGTCAACCCATATTGGGCCTTTCACGCAACCTGCCCGGTGTCCATTCTAACCAACAATCTCAACCGAAAACACCTTCCAGTGGAAATTCAGAGGTAAGTACTTCATCTTCCTCTTAACTCTGCGCCACTTGTGATTGGGTTCGCTTGGTGGCGGCTGTATGTCTCATAGAGGGGGAGAGGCTTAGAAGTGACATTTGTAATCTCAACCATCTTCTCATTCTCTCTTTTTCGTTTCAAGCCGAGGAGAATTTATGTTGAGGTGAGAGAGCTACTTTGCGCAATCGATTTTTCTCCTTGCCTCCCTCGCCCCTCGCCCCCCGCCACCCCCTCCTCCTCTCCTACTTGTGTGGCTCCCTCCTTAAATGTGATCTCTCTGAATGTTCCACGCGTCTCCTCACATACTTTGCCATGCTTGCGCTTCTCTTTTGGTTCTAGTGGTTATTATGGAAGTAGACATGAAAGAGCGAGAGAGAGAGAGTGGGAGATAGAGACAGACTGTCTGATTTCCTTGCATACTCCATTTCTTTACTTCCTCTCACAATGCGAACCTCCAGGAGTTGACCTCTTTCCTTTATATATTGTGGCTCTATGGTAATCTAAGTTGTTGTGCTCGTTTCTTGAAATCAAATCGCCTCCTCCAATTCAGTCACCAATTATATATCGTCTTTAAAGACAAGCTCCATCAAAAAAAGGCAACTCTCTTTAACACTTCAATCAGGAGAAACCAGTCATTAAGGATCATGATATTACTCTTCCACTCCTGTAAATTTGTAGTTGAAATATGTATGAACCTCCAATAAGGACAGTTTTTTGTCAAATCTGCTAAGAAATCATCAAAACTCTCTAGGCAACCTTTTAACTTCCACTCTCTCCAATTTTTTTGTTACCTTGAAAGCACTTTCAGTGGTGCTATTGCTGGCCGTTTTTACAACACGCTGCGTTTAATTTGGTCACAATTTCAGCACAATTTATTAAATAGGGGTAATTATAGATTTTCAAACAAGAGAGAGAGAGAGAGAGATTACCCTTGTTTTGATAACAATATGTATATGTATGTATATTCAGAAAACTAATGAGCTTGTTTGTATCGTGGGGGTGGGGTGGGGGGGGGGTTATTAAATCCTAACTGAATATTTCTTGTCAAATGCTTAATTTTAATGCCATTTTTCCTCCACTCATCCTATTCCGATCTCCACTTTCTGTGTGTGCGCGTCTTGTCCATTGTGCTTTGTCGTATTTCTGTGCGTGTGTGTGTGTAACCTTAGCAACAACCTCAAACACAACACGAACCACTGCCAGCTCCCTTGGTCTCCCAACCAATGGGTCTGCTAAATTTACTCAAACAGGCTCGACTCAATCCCACAGCTAATGGCCTAATGGGTCTCAAAAGAGCCCAAAGGGGGGTTCCTGTTAGAGCCAAGAGTAATCCTTCTGTAACCACCGGGGATAATAAGTGGTTTGGTTCTGCTCCGAAATCAGAGGATGCCAAACAGAAGGCGGAGAAATTGTCACAATCCTCTGGATCACTGAGTTCGGGTTCTTCAAGTGATGATGATGATGATGGTGATGGGAAAACTACTATCCCCGAGGACTGTCGAAGCGAGTCGGCATTCTTCCTACGTCCACCTCCCGGTCCTAAGTTGAAGAGGCGTCTAGCGAAGCCACGACCGGATGAAATTTTTCTTGTTGATGAGTTGTATGATGACAGTGAGGCATTTAATACGGACGATGGGGAGGTTGAGAGGACTGCAGGCGAGAAACATGACCTGAACACTTCAACTCGATTAACAGAAGTTCTACAACTTCAAGCTGTATGTTTGGATGTAGTCCCTGCTGCCGCTATTTATGTCTTATTATTCTCAACTGTCACAGCTATGCAGTCATATCTTCTGGTAGTCTTGCTAAGCTGTTGCTTACAATCTGTTCCACAAGGCAATTGGGAGATATGACAGAGTAGAGATGGCTGTATTGGTTGAAAATGTGGAGCTGCTTGTCACAAGTAGACTTGGGCTTTTATCTGAAAGAGAAAAATAATCGGGATAGTGTCTGGAGAAGACAATTATCTCACAGATCGACTGTACTTATACTATGGCTTACAGTCACTCACCAGGCCATGTCACCTATTCACAAAATCACTGCACCGATTAGTTCTAGTCACCTGGGGGGTTCCACGTATGAGCGTTGTCGTCCAAGTCAAGTGTCATGACCTCTTATCTTAGTGGTTTTGAGAGATTTTGATGCGGCTTTGGCCGTATTGATAAGTTTGCCTGTTGTGAGCTCTGGTGTTTTTCGTGTCCCCTTTTACCCAATTATCCCTTGCTATTGTATCAGTCCCACCGTCTCGTAATTCCCATTGTTCTTTTAATATCACATACTACTTATTTGTTTTGCCAGTAGTATATCAACCAAATCTGGCACTTGTTAAAAGAAGTTAGATCTCCCTTTAATTTAATCTACTAACAAGTCTTCTGTTAGCTTTTTCCTTTGTAATTTATCACCTCCGTTGTTTTGTCTCTCTTTTTTTGCGTTTATCCTATGACCGTTGTGTAGTCAGTAGCTAACATTTGTTCAATATTATTATTTATATTTGATCTAATACCTAGTAGTAGTATCCGTGTTTTTCACCAAATTATCGCTCTTGTTGAAATTCGCTTACTAGCTAAACTATTCTAGAATGTTTGTTGTGTTGTTCATTTTCGTGTTGAGCTGTTGACATCAATGCAAACTAACAAAATTGTCGCATGAAATTCTCTTTTTTAAAACTTAGCGAACTTACAAGCTTGTTTTGCATTTTCTTCTTGTCCGTCTCAGTGGTCTGTCACTCACTCAGTCAGTTATCTTTGCTGTTCTCTCTCCCCACTGGCCTCAATGTCTTTCTCTCTTTCTTTCGTTCTTTTTGTGAATGCTTTGTGCTTTAACTGTTGTCAGTCCCATTTCCTCTTATTTCTTTTTCTTCATTGCGAGCGTGTGTGTGTGTGCGTGTGTGTCTATTCGTGCTTCCTTGTTCTTTCTTTTTCTATGACCTCAAAGGTGATCACAAATCATTATTGAAAGCACATCATTGATCACCTTTAGGTGGTTGTTTTCACAATTACTAATTGTCTTCTCTTTGGTCTCTTTGCTCTCCCGCTCCCCTCTCCCAGGAATTGGATCGATTAGCGGCCCAATTGACAGACATGGGTGCGCGAACCCCTCTCTCTGCCACAAAAGCTATCAATGGCAACGGCAAGGTTACCGGTGGAGGAGGAAAGGCAAGCACCCCTACACCCCCATCATCTCCATCCACCGTCTCCTCCACTCATTCGTCTAATTCTTCCTCGGCTTCAACGCCTGATGAAGAGGGTTCCCTCAAAAAGAACAGAAGGCGTCAAGGTGCCTTCCGTGGCAACGGAGATGGTGATAATCGACGCCAGACAGTGGTCGAGAAAGTTCCAGGTGCTGCTGAAATTCATTCTGATGATGGTGAAGATGAAATCGAGGGTGTAAATCAGGAGGAAATGATGGACGATGAGGAAATTCAATTGAAGGATCCGAATGCCGATGATGAAGGTGATGATTCGGACGGAGTAGTTGATGTTGTTGAAGATGTTGAAGGCGAACCGGGCGCATTGGATGTAGAGGAGACTGCGCATGTCAGATCCACACTCTCTATCCTCAGACCTTCCAGAAAAGAGGATCTAGCCGCCTCCGAGAACGGTAATGGCGGAGATAAACTTATGTGAGTTTTGCTACTTGAATAGAACTGCTAGTGGTATATAATGTAGATGGATATTAATGATTCTTTTTATACCCTCTTTCCTCTTCCCAATAAATCCTTTTTACTAATTATGGTGTGTGACATGTACTTTGTTTGTGCCTGTGTTGTGCTTGTGAAGCCGGCGAATTGAGGCTCCACCTTTACCCCATCGAGATGATTCATCCTCTCCTCCTCCCCTGCCTCCACGATGTCAACCCCCTTGCGACCCTTCGATCAATGGAGGTGATCCCTTCGGTACACCTGTGGCTTGTTTCCCCATTATTGCAACTTCAAATACTTCTCCTAACGCCACTACGGCCTGTGTCAATGGACTGCAGTTGCAACTGGTTAGTTGTTTCCCTCCAGAGCTCCTCATGGAGGTTGATCCTGTTGTGAGGCATCAATTTGGACTGCCACAAATTCGTCGCTCGGCTAAGAAGGCCAATAGGAGATACTCGGCTCCTCCGGGATATCTCGTTCCCATGTTGTGAGTAGCAAGACATCTAATCGCTATCTAACCACTTCACTCATCGCCCCCCGCCTCCCCCCTAACGTGTTCATACACCATTCGGAGTAGTCACTTATGTACTCTCAACATGTCTGTTGTTGTTCAATTTGAGTCCTTTTCGCGAGCGCTTTTGATATCTTAACTCCGTCGTCTCAGCTGCTTTCTCTAATTCTCTGTCGTTCAGAAATTCCTAATTTAATCATTTCTGTTGTCTAAGTGCCTTTCTGTGCCTCAATACTCCCACCTGCTAATGTGTGTGTCTTTTTTTCTGTATTTTTGTCGCTGGCGTTTATTTAGGCCTTCGGAGGAATTCACTCAAGAGACGCTGAATAGCATCAACTCAATTTTGGAGAATTCGCATCAGTCGCCAACTCACAATCATGCGGTAATTTAACGCCTTTTTCTTTATCAATATCAACGACGCTTAATTTATTTATTTATTATATCAAATGGTAGGCGTTTTGATAGCTATCATTAGCTCTTTAGCTGACTTCGGGCTTCACAGAGAAGAGGAGGAGGAACATCAAAGTGAGAAGAATTCGGGGGGGGGGGGACAGAACAGTGTTTCAATGATGTAAAAGAAACGGACATAACGGTAGAAAAAAGGTGAGGTGAGTACTGTGAGGTGATGGTAGTTTGAAGTGAGAAGTCAACTGCCGGTCAATAGACTTTTTTGCCGTATGAATATACGTCACCCAGGGTGCACCACATGGATCGCGCTGGCTAATATATGTGGATTTTGGTCTAAGTGGAACAGATATTGGCAATTAAAGGAGCGAAATTGTTGTGAGCTCTCGGAGGCATGTCGTCCTGTGTCTGACCTCGATGATTGGCAGATTCCTATTTTTAGAAGTTCTAATTGCTGCCACTTTTTGTGCTGCATCAACTTCTCGATTTTCATGTCAGCACAATTTGGGGGGGGGGGTGTAT